CTGCAGCTAAAAAAAAATGACTTGCAAAAATAGTCTTTCTTGAAAAAGCAATTATTGCCCTGAGTCTTCCAACCAAATTAAACTGCAAACTATGGACTGTTAAAGTCACTGAAGAAATCTTAGTCATACACTAAGCAACTACTGCTCGTTCCAACAAGCATTACAGCAAACTGTTGAAAACAAGAAATATTTCTTTGGGAATTTTTGGAAGGCAGCACAGTTTAGTTGAAGTTAGTGCTTCCCAGAGTGATTTTTTTTTAAATCTTCTTTTAACAACCTCTCCGCACTTCAAATACCATAATCACGTGAATAATTCACAAGCACCCAGTTGGCACCCAAAACCAGAGCCGGCTGCAGGAACGGTTTCCAGCCATTTATGACAAAGGCAGTTGTGATTAAGACTACCTCTAAGGGCTGAGTTTGTGTTCTTTGCTCTTACACGCAATTCACATCTTTCTACTATTAGTTAAAATGTAGCAGCTTATTTCTCACATTATTTTTAATCTAACTGGAAAATCAATGGCCTCCGGTTGGGAATGATTTTGGATATATTTTTTGAAAGTCCAAAAAGAAGACACTAGAAACAAGAGAGCGGCTCCACTAATGTTCTTTCATTTATTTAACAACTTTCTTTAGTAATTGACCTAACTGCTATTCAGTTACTAGCTACCATACACAAAGGATACAGAGAACAGTAGCAAGAAATCAGGTAGGTCTCTCGAGTTTACACTCTAGCAGTAGGTTTAGTAAAATTCGCTGCTTTGACTTTGAAACAAAGACAGTCCAGAATTCCTCACATCCTAACCATGTGCCGCAGACCGGGCTTGGGTGCCAAAAGGGCACTCAGTCATCGATAACACCCAGCTGACATCCTCTTCCTCCTCCCTGTCTCCCTCCCCACCCCCTAGGATTTCTTCCGTTCAATTAGGAAGCACAGCTTGTTCAAATCTGGCACTAGCCATACACCAAAAATTGCAGTCTATCAGTAGGTTTTAACGTAGAGTTGTTTTGTGTGGTGGCAAATCTTTTCAGTTCAACTAGACAAAGTTATGGTCTAGTTGGGTAATACTCAATCCAAGCATAGACAATGAGCAGAATTTTCTTGGGAGTCTGTAAAACCATTCAGCCCGTCCCTGCGTCCTGCCTCCCTTAGCCCCGTATCTCCCCGAGAGGTAATGAGTCCGTCCAACCTTTTTCTCCTATGTTCAATATAGCCTTTTTTTTAAAGCACCACACCATTTGGCCATGATCCATGGCCCACCACAAACACCAGTTGGTGCTGTCAAAGGGTGTCCCTGGTGAGGAAAATAGAGGTGAACCTGCAGAATAACACTCCTGGGGGAGTGGCCCAGGGGTGGGGGAGGGAGATTTCTCCAGGATCAGGGAGCAGGGAGGAAGAAGAAGGCAAACTCAAGACTGTTACAGTAAACCTGTAACTTATTCAGGGACGAGGCAGAGCCCTGAACTCTTCCCCTCAGTAGGACTTCTAATGTGTCCAGGCACACACTGATCTTTCAGCTCTGTCGGGCCTTGTGCTGTGGTTCAGCACGGTCAGCTGGCTGGGTCCCGAACAGCCCGCACTTCCAAGGCATTCATGAAGCAGACCTCACATGCGGCTAACTCCGGGATCACAGGACTGTAAGAAGTGGGCAGGAACCTTTGAAGATCAATAAAGACAGGTCTGAAAAATCAGCACTGGACAGAGAGGTTCTACTCTACCGGAGACTCCAGAGCGGGTCCAGGTGGCCAGGAAGTCCAGAGGGGTGTAAGGCACGTGGGCTCAAGAGTCGGACTATCTGGCTTCAAACCCTGGCTCCACATTTAACAGCAACGGCAACCTCTCGTGACCCCACTTTCTCACCGGGAAACGGAAGGTAAGAACAGCACCCATCTAACGGGACCGATGGGAGGACACCCCGGGATCACAGTGAAAGAGCGGAGCACAGCGGCTGCCACGCGAGAGGCGCGCCGTGAGTGCGTGCTAGCGTATCGACTATTTTCAGGGGGAGCCGGAGCTACCACTCAGTTCCTAAACTGGAATGACAACATTACAACCACTGTTATTTGGCTGGACCCTAATTATGGACCCTCAACGATCCTCTGAGGGAGGTGGCATTACCTTCATTTTAGAGTTGAAAAAAGGAGGTTTAAGGGATTCCGAAACTCATTTATGCTTACTCGATTAAGTGGTGGAGCAGTAAAAGCTCTGATCACACCCACAAAGTTTGCATTATTCCATCTACCTCCAAAAGCTTGCAAGTCCTTTAAAGTAGACTTCAGTGTTCTAAAATCACACCTTAATGAATGAAATACTGTTCTTAAAGAACGCCCCACAGCCCCCCATTAAATCTGCATGATCATTTATGCAATCAGAAATACCTCCCAGATTCTGATAGACTGTCAAATACACAAAATTTTTTTTTTAATGTAAGTATGACCAGATATCATAAGCTTTTTTTTTTTTTTAAATTCTCACCAGAGGACATTTTTTCACTGCTGTTAGAGAGAGAGGTAGAGAGAGAGAAACAGTGATGGGTTGCCTCCCTTACGTGCTATACTTGCCCAAGTACTTGATCGAACCTGCAACCTAGGTATGCACCCTGACCAGGAAGCAAACCCACACTTTGAGTTAAAGGATGACACTCCAACCAACTGAGTCTTGCTGGCCAGGGCACCATCATTTTAATTAAATGGCTTTAAAAGTTCAAAGGTACTGCAGACCCACAGCACATTAAGTCACTGTTCTTTCAGGATTTGTAATTCGATCCTGCAGAAGAATGGGCATTCCCGTTGGCCTGCGTAACATCTCTCTTACCATATGTTTGGTAAGCGTGTAACAACATTGACTAGAGTTAATATTTACTCCAAATATCCTCTCCCAACATCTCTTACACTATTTAGCAAGACTTGCAGACACTTCATTGTCCTAAAAGAAAACACAAATATGTCAAGTTGACTCTGATCTCAAGGAATAGCTTTTAAAACTTGAATACTGAAATCCAGAAACAAGCAGTCAAATTTATAAATACTTAAAGATCCTACTGCTTCAAGAAAACTGGAATAATAAGTCATCTTAGTCAAAACTGTTTGTCGCCATCAAATGAATTGCTTGCCCAGTTTCTTGAAAACAGAGTTCAAAATAATTGTTAATCTATTAATAAGTTAAAATGACAGACCTGCTTAATTTGTTTAAGAAGTAGTAATATGGATAAGCAAAGCCATATAATTTCCCTTCATTTTTCTGGTTGCTTTACCCAGGGCAACATATTCTTACAATCCCTGTTAGTAAACACAAATGAGCTGAAGTAATAAAAGACGGATATGGAAGCGGAAGGGACCCTGAAATACCTCACTATTTCAAGAATTCATTGCCGTTTCAATAACCTGAAACTCCAAGTATCAGAAAGCAGAAAGAATTCCCACACAACTGTAAAGGTCAAATAATTATACAGGTGCCTTAACAGACACCGTTGGGCGCACACCATCATCACCGACGTGTACTGTCTGCTGAGCAGTTTTAAAGGGCAACAACTGGCTGGGAGCGCGAAGCTCAGGACAACAACCCTGCCTGGAGAGGCTGTGGAGGTGTGATGCTTGTCGAAACGTGCGTCGAGCCAGCAGCAGGCAGCCAAGCTGCGGCGAGAAGGAGCTTCAGGCCAGGTGTCTTTTTCTCATTTCAGGAGGGAAACCTAAACCGGTACCTTCATGGATAATTTAGTAAGGGTTGTTCCATAAATTTATAATGTAATTTATGACTTGCAATAATTGCTCTTTAATAGCTTTCAAAAACAATATGCTTCGGATAAAAGTAAACGGGAATACAAAGTATGAAACTATTAGAGCTTCAAATGGAGAAAAGGGTAATGTTTCACAGGAGAAGCACTTAGAAAGGTTATGAACTCCTAAGGCCCCATTCCATAAAAAGCTGGAAAAAAGTTCCCGAAATGATAAAAGTCCAAATGTTGGAGTTATCCCTAATGATATGCATACTATTTAAACTTACAATTAGGAATAGCTTCTTAATGGACACAATTTTCCTTGTAAGGGTTAAAAAAAGGTGGGACAGAGGAATAACATTTGTCATCATTCAGCCAAACTGCAGCTCCTGACCTTCTTGGATAATGATTCTGTCGTGCTTCTCTGCACCTCCCAGCGGGAATAAGAAGTGTGTGTTGATAACTGCAAGAAATCAAGCTAAGCTCGAGTCGGAGTTCCTCAATAACCGAGGTTCAGTTCCAGTGTTCATTTCACTGCTTCTTACTTCAAAAAAGAATCTGCCTTTTCAAGGTCTGGGAGTCAGCTCAAGTTTTCAGGTGAGGATTCTCAGCAGTAAATCCGAGGGTCAAAGCCGATTACATCCACAACCAGGCCCCACACAAGAAGGGTACCTGGGACCCACCTCCGTGCCCAGGACCTCGGGGCCTGGCCGGGGGCGCGCCCCGTCGAGAAGCCCCAGTTCAGGCTGGGTGCAAAGGACCAACAGAGACATGCCCCAGGTGGCCTGGGCGGCTGGCTCCCCACCTTGCACTTAGGCCTCCTAGGGGGCCCCCGAGCCTGTCCCCGCCCTCCGGGCCCCATGTGCCCTCCAATCTCAACTCGGCCAGCCTCAGGAGGTGGTAAGCTCGAAACAGGGCTCAGGTGGCCCCTCTGGGCCCGTTAACTGGACACACAGTGCCAGCCCAAGGCGCCAACTCCACAGGTCCCTCGGGGCCCGGAGTGTCCAAAGGTCCTGGGGGGGCGTCGGGAAGTGGATGGGCAAAGGGGCCTTAGAACGGGCGGCTCCAACTGCCCCCCTCCAAAGTGCCCGACCGGCTGACTCAGCCCGGCTGGGGCAGACCTTCCCGCGCCTCCTTCCCGGGACTCCTCCCTGCACCCCGGGGCCGGCGACGCCCCACGACCCCCGCGCTGCGGGCGCCGCCGCTCGTCCGGGTCTCCCGGACAACAGCCACCGCCTCGCTTCCGAGGCGGGTCCCCGCGCCCCCCGCGGCCCGGCCGCCCACCTGTCCCGGGGGTCGATCCAGCTGGTCCTCCTGGTGTTGTGGTCGATGTAGAAGACCTTGCCGTCGTAGTCCCTGGCCTCCTCCCAGCCCCGGGGTAGCGGCAGCTGCCCGCTCCCGGCCCTCCTAGGCATGGTCGGCGGCCTCGCCGGCGAGCGGCGCCTCCATAGGGACCGGGCGCGGGACGCGGCGGGAACGCGACTGTCCGGCCCGGCCGCCGCACCCGACGCGGGCGCCGGCCAGGGGCTGCCGGGCGCGGGGCGCGGCGGGGCCGCTCGCAGGGGGCGCCTCGGCGATCAGTCCAGGAATCCGCCGGGGATCAGTCCACCATGTCTGCGTCGGAGCCGGAGATCGAACCCTCCTCCACCTCCTCGCGGCCGCCGCCGCTGCCTCCGCCTCTTCCTCCTCCTCCGCGTCCCCCTTGGGCCGCCGAGGGTCGCGGCGCCCAGGCTGCCAGAGCCGCCGCCGTCTGGGCTCGGATCCGGGAAGCTCGGCTGAGCTGCGGCCGCGGCGGCGACGGGCCTCTTCATTTGCATGCGATTAGCATGCGCCCCGCCCGGGCCCGCCCCCGCCAGGCTCATCTGCATGCACATTCCTCGCCGCCACATTCCAGGGCTTAACCCTGCCGCTCCCGGGGGCCGCGGCGCGAGCTGGGGAGCCGGGCCCAGCCGGGCGGGGGAGGGGAGCCGGGACCAGGTGGGAGGGAGAGGGCCTGGAATGCACCGCTCGCTCCTTTCCCCTGACCCCAAATATTTCCCCTGGCCAAGCGTCTCGGGTTTTTAAAGTTTGGGGACTGGAAAGAGCTAAAGAGAAGTCTCCGCACTCTGCTCAACCCCTTTCCGACTTCTAGGGAAAGCACAGGACTTTCGAGAGGAAAGGGGTGGGGGAAGCTCGCGCTCTACGGAAGGAAAAGGCCCAGCAAACACCGAGGGCACAAAGGCTCCCCCACGCCGCGCCCTGAGCCCCTTTGGACCCGAGGGCGGTCCCAGGCGGTGGCAAAGTGTGGAAAGCACTGAGAGCGGGTCCGTGGCGCGTCCGATTGGCGTCGCCCGCCCCCCGGGCTTCTGCAGGGCTCCTGGCCTCGGTGACCTCAGCCGAGAGGCCGCGGGCCTCGCAGCGGAAAGCGAAGGCGGGCCCCGCGGTCCGAGAGGGCCGCGACACGCCTGTCCCAGTGGCCCGCGGGGGAAACTCCAACCTGACCCTGGGAAGCGACTGGGCCCACACCCTGTCTCCCGTGGCCGTCGTCGTCGCCACCCGAGCCTCCCCGCGGGGCCGGGGCGCTCCACCAAGCGGGCCGGCCAGCCATCGGAGCCCTCTCTGCCGCTAGCCTCCGCTGCAGGGGTTCGGGACGGCTGGACGCGGACATGTCCGGTATCCAGTCCCCTCTGTCCAGCCCCCGCCCCGGGAAGTCCCCCACCCCGAGCCCCGCTAAGGCCGAGAAGGTGCGGGTGACGCGCTGGAACAAGCGCGCAGGGCGGCCCGGAACCCAGGCCCTCGGAGGCCCCGGATGCGCTGCGATGGAGATAGGGCTTCTCTCGCACCGCAAGCTTTGATTTATTCAGCAGCCACTGAGGGCTGGTCGGGCCAGACGAGGGAGCTGGACGTCGGGCTCCGGCAGTTCTGTCCCAGGAGCGGCAGGCTTGGCAGGGCCTGAACACAGAGCAATCACTGCCCCCCTGCTCCTCGATCTGCGAGGGAGCTTCCCAGGCCCCCAAATCCTCTCCAGCTCGGTCCACGCCGCCGCCGCCGCCGGCTCGTCGTCTTCTGAGCTCAGGCGTTTCCCTCTGGACGTGAATTCGCTGAACCCTGCCAGGTAGTAAGTAATGAGGGCCCGCCCTGTGCAGGCCACAGTGTTGGGCAGGGGCCGGCAGAGGGTCTGGGACGACATCTCCCCTCCCGCGTCCACAGAGCCGCAGGGCGTCAAGTGAATTGCGCTTCGCCACAGCCTGGCGTGGACTGACGCACGTTGTCAGAGCATCGACCCCCAAGGTGCCAGAGCGCCGTCGCGGAGAGGACCGAGGGCCAGGCTTCGAGCAGCCTCACAGCGGAACTGAACCAGCCTTCTCTGGCGTGGGCGTAAAATCAAACCTTTTATAAAAGGGGGGGGCTGTGTTGGCCCTTGGAGCTGTGTCCACCGGGCGAAACCACTAGAAGCTCTGAAGAGCTGGGAGTACCTGGAAAGGAGCAACCAGAGCGGGGGGGGGGGGGGCCGGGGGCGGGGGGGCGGGCAGGGGGATGAGAGTGGCCCAAGGCTCTGTAGCTCCCTTTATCTTTTGGGGCCAGCGTTTTCATGTCCGGGGAGCTCTGCTGGGCCTTAGGAAAGAGAAGCCCCCGCTTCTGGGCCAGGGTTCTGCCCACTGCATTCATGAGATGAGTGCGCGAGGCAGGCTTCGCCCCTTCCTGTGAGATGCGACCTCCTGGGAGCTGAGCTTACAGCGGGACTTCTGAGTGCCGCCAGGGAAAAAAGAGAGACAGAACTGTCTAACATGACTCTCTCGCACTACTGAAGGAATGTGCTTTATTTTGGAGTTCTCTTAATCGGTTCACTTGTCAAAAGTTGCGTGATGGTAGAGTAGCAAGGCCATCCGGCAGCCCAACTCAGCCATTCTGGCTCAGGCCTTGCTTCCAGCCTCCCCCACCCCTGACCCCTAGAAAACGTGCGTTCTACTAAAATGTCCACATACTACTATTTAAAAACAAAAACCAAACAAAAGCAAAGTAACATGCTTTGCTGTTGCCACAACTTAATTTGTTTCACTGGGATGAGTCACAACACAATACTTTGAGGTGTAATTTCAAATGAATCCAAAATAGCACACAGGCAGTAAATGGCATTTATTGTTCCATAAATCTCCAGACTTCAAAAAGGGATGCTAAATAGACAAACAAAACTCTAAAGCAATTAAGAGACAAGCTCACTTCTTTTCTCCCTATGGTTGGCACAGGACACATTTGGTAGCACAGAAAGGAAAGTCGCTGCTCCTCAGGCTTCTTTGTCTTGATCAAGTCTGAACTCTGCTGTTGACACAATCTACCTTCCTCTCCTCGGACAGTTCCTAATGGTGAAGACGATGAAGTTTGGTGAAGACAATGAAGTTTCATTTCATTTATATGCATACGTGTGAAAATAAAATAAGTAGAAAGGCGATCCCTTTTTGATTGTTGGATGTGTTTAGATTTGATTTGGGCTTCAGCGGGTCACTGGTAAAGAAAGATGGTTACGATCTGCCTGTCCTGGGTGCCCGACCGGCCCCGCCAATAGAACCGTACACCAGCCGCCGGAAGTCCGCCTTCCGGCCTTCAAATTCACTTTCCTCCTGGCTTGACATGTTCTCTGCTAACACTCTGCAGGAATGACCCACCAGTAAAGTTCCCCTTTTGTGAATGTCTAAGTCTCGGGTGGCAGGAAAATGAGTACTATCCCAAAGGTGAGTGGACAGTGAAAATTATTTCCAAAGGTAATCCAGGATGTCTGTCCAAATTTAAGATACATATATACATATATCTTATATATATATGTCAAATAAAGATACATATATACAAAGATACATATATATATATCAAATAAAGGTACATATATACCTTTACTCGAGCAGTTCTGGCTCCGATTTTACCTGTGGCTATTAAAGTTTCTCGAGGTAAGCAAGGATGTTCACAGCGGCGTGTTTGATAATGACAAAGCTGGGGAAACCTCCAGGGTCCACCAGTAGGGGAGCGATTCAGTGAGTTATGGTATGTCCATATTCAGCGGGCATTTAAAACGCAAGAGATAAACACATATGTGCTGATAAGGAGAGACGTCCGGGATACATGAAGCTGACAAAGCACTGTGCAAAAAGACTCTCGCTCACTTCACTGGCTGGAGCAGGGCCGATGGCTGAATGCGGAGAGCAACGCAGACTCCTACGTAATTCCTGATGTCAAAGGGAGAATGCAGATCGGGAAGTCAGGGAGTTGTGGGAGTGAATGTGGACTGCCAGAGAGGTATCAGAGAAGTGTATGTGAGGAAAGGGGTCGTGGAAGAAAAGGGATGGGGTAGAGGTGAGCCCAGCCGAGGCACCAAAGCAGACGGGCGTGGCCGAGCGTGCTTGTAGAAAGGCTTGGCTGCAGAGAGCTCCGAAATGAATCCGGCATGAAAGAGTCCAAGACTGGCTGGAGCCGTCTGGTTAGGAGGCAGGCTTATGATAGTGTAGGTATGAGATAGATAAAGGTCTGGATTAGAAATAAGGTAAGACAGGGGGTAACCCGAATGGGGAGGGGATGAAAAGGAATGATCTGGCAAGAATTTGTTGCTGATTAGATTAAGAAGGGAGAGGTGAATAGACCAGAAGGAGGAATCTGGCAGAAGTCCAAGATTTTAGGCGGTCAAGAGAGACTCAAATAGCTGAAATAAATGAGGAAGTCCAAAGGGGGATCTGATACGGGCTTTGCGCTTAGAAATTAGAGATACCCAGCAGAAAGTGAAAGGTCACGACTCAAGCTCAGACAAAGGGTCAGAACTGCAAATGCGTGATTAGACGTCACCCATCGGAAAGCCTGCAGAGGGCTAAGCATCCAGGACTGAATCTTGGAAAGGAAACCTCAGTGCAAGTCAAATAGAATTAAGTAACACATCTGTAATTCTATTTTGGGCCTGTAACTCTTCAGTAATTTGATATGAGTTAGTTTATTTCTTTGTAAAATGTGGTCTCCATTTTCAGCGATGTGTGTAAGACTTAGTTACTTGTGTACGAACCATTGCTGAATGAATTATTTTTACAACCTTTATAGATTCGGCTAGTGAAACAACTCACGTGTGTGACAAGATGGCCTGGTTTTCAGTATTTTAATACCCTCATTTCCTCAAGAAGATCAGGGAGTATATAAGCCGGAACTTCTGTATAACGAAAAAGTTCCTTTTTTTTTTTTCCTTTTTAACCTTGAAGATTTTATTTAAGTCTGTCTTTGATATACTGAAACCTGAGCATTTTGCTTTTGTTTTCTGTCACTACACATTGCTTTTATTTTCTGAACAAGGTCAACAATAAAGAGAGTGAGAGAGAGCGAGAAGATTCCTTTTCTCTTAGTCAAACTGGTAACATTTTTGTTTTTGTTTTTATTCTTCTGCAGCCAAACTGGTTAAAATACATAACACCTCTAATTATTGTAAATAGGTAACCCTAATCCACAAATCCTAACGTTTACTGTCTGGACAGTCCTTAAGAAGCCAGGCATGTGATTTTTAAGAATTCCCAGGTGTGGGCCAAACCAG